TGAAGCTTCCTCAAGTGAAAACCCAGAAAGGAGAAGTGGGAAACCTTAGGTGAAAACCATGTCCCTCCATAGCTTGGAGACACTGGGAGTAAAACTTGGGTGATTTTGGTTCTAACATTGGATCATAATTGCTCTGAAACAGCGTGATCACCAAAAGCTGCCCGCAGCATGGAGCTCAAATGGTTTTTGCCTGTAGCCCACAGAGAACCTTGGATGCTTGGCTCCCTTCTCTGGTCTGGTGCAATGTCAGCCCGGAAGGACCGGTCCCCCGCTCCTCTCTGTTTGCGGAGCTGTGACCTAGGTGATGGCAGGAGCACCGGGCATGCCTGTGTGGTGGCTGTTCAGGTGTGCGGCACCAGCACAGCTCAGGGTTCAGGCCTGTGGAGAGCGCAGCCTTCGTGTGGAGCGTTGTCTTCCAGAGATCCATGCACAGGAGGGCAGTGGCTGAGGGACTGCCTTGCCGAGGCCAGAGGAAGCTATGGCCAGGGACAGAGAACTGCCTCCTGGAAACCCCCAGGTCCATGGTCACAGAGAGAAACCACCCACAGGAAACTTCTGAACGATACGGTTTCCTTTATCACAGGGACAGCTGGAGACAAACACTTTCCGAGGGGTTCCCTGCCCCATGATGATCCCCAGGGACTCCTGCCCAGGATCCCCTCACTGATGGTCTAAGGGACACCTGCCACCATGTCCAGCCATGCCTGGGAGCTGCCACACTCACCCTACCCAGCCCATGGCCCGTGCCCTGTGCAGGGAGCCATGCTCTGCGTAGCTTTTCCTGTCTGTGTGTCACTCGGACAGTGGCCGGGGGTGATGCGTGCTGTCCCCAGGTATACTCCAGCTGCCTGACAGTACACTTGAGCTTGGGCCTTCCAGACCCCTCTCAGTCTGTGCAAGTGGTGCCTGCTGCCTCCCTGAGCCTCATGATAGTCCCAGTGGGGCGACGTCAGCATAGCAGGCCGAGCCCACCCACTATGTGTTGGGAAGCCGGGCTTCTTCCACCTTGATTCCAAGCTGGGAAGCCCTTTGTGCCCTCTGCCTCCACCTGTCCCTGCCGCATGTGTGGGGTCCAGGGTCCAGCGTGCTGCCTCTCCCACAGGCCTGCAAGCTTGCAGGCAGCCTGTTCAGGGACAGAGCCCCATGGGCTTCCCTGAGTGTGAGCTGCACATCCACTTCGTGTGTTTCTCCTGAATTCCTCGGATGCTGCCTTGGTCCAGAGCCTCCTGGCTGCCAGGCATTTTGCTTTGACTTATAGTGATTCTTACTCTGGCTAGCTTTTCCCTAGGACAGAGGCACTTACCCCACCCTGCGTGTGCAAGCTGCCCAAGCTGTGTTAGCAAGCTGGTCCTGGCCCAAGGACCAGTGCAGAGTCCTGCTCCTAAAGGCTAGCATAGAGCACCTTTCCTTATCCTGGGCTGGCCAAGGGCTGTGTCAGTCATATCCCTGGGTGTCTATGCAAGCCAGTTTCTTCCTTCTACTATGTGCTTTATTTATTTGTTTGTTTATCTTTTTGAGACTATGCAGCTCAGGCTGGTTATGAACTCACTTTGTAGCCCAGGCTGGCCTTGAACTCACAGCAATCCTCCTGCCTCAGCCTCTCAAATGCTGGGATTAGAGGCTTGTACCACCATATTGGCCCTACTTTGTGCTTTGAATCAGTCTTTTTCTACCTGCTTGAGTGGCATTAGTCAGATTTCCCATTGTTAAGACACAACACTTGATGCCTACAACTTAAAGGAGAAGTTTATCTTGCTCACGGTTTGGGGGAGTCCAGTCTGTGGTTAGCTGGCCCCGGGGCAGGACTGTCAGACAGGAAGGCCTGTGGAGCAAAGGCATTGAGTCCATGATGGCTGGGGACACTGCCAGAGAGGAGGGAACTGGGGACCAGGCGCAGGCCCTAAGGCCAGCCCTCTGCAGCTGTCCAGACCTGCCTGGAAGTGTGCTCCACCAGCCTTCCAGGGAGATCCCCAGCCTGGCCCAGGTGGCAAAACTCCACCCTGACCTCTAGCCATGGTTTGCCCTGGAGCAGGGGCTGCCAGTCAGTGGTCTCCCAGTGTCTTCTGGTACATGTGTCTGGGTCTCCCCAAGGCCTTTGCCTTGGAGGGGAGCTGGGTTCCCAGTGGATGGGCCCCTTCCTGCTCGGAGATGCTGTGCAAGTGCTCCATGAGGCGCTTCAGCTCCCCGCTGCCAGTGTCTGTTGCTCCCTATTTCTCAGTTGCTCAGTCATGTCAAGTGTTGGTAGAACTTTGCTGACATGGTAGGTAGGAAATTCTCCCTATTACTGTAGTGAAGGATTCTCTTCATGCTAATTAACCTTGTGCATGTTTCATCTGTGAACTATCTAGTTACATACTTATACACAGCTTTTAACAAGATCTGACTCGCATACCGTACAGTTCACCCACGTAAAGGGTGCAACTCAATGGCTTGTAGGACCCAGACTTGTGTGAACATTGACATAATTTTATAATACGAGAGTGATCAAAACTGCTGGTGAATATTGAAATTAAAAAATCATTATAGTAAAAAATGCATTGCCATTAAATCCCCTCAAAACACACCTGTCCTGTACTAATGCAGTGTTTTGGCATTTTCTCTTTATTTCTTCTTTCTTTCTTTCTTTCTTTCTTTCTTTCTTTCTTTCTTTCTTTCTTCCTTCCTTCCTTCCTTCCTTCCTTCCTTCCTTCCTTCCTTCCTTCCTCCCTCCCTCCCTCCCTCCCTCCCTCCCTTCCTTCCTTTTTTTCTTTCTGTATTTAGGACAGGGTCTACAGGGTCTCACTACATAGATCGGACTTGTAGTGATTCTCCTGTTTTCAGCCTCCCAAGCGCTGGGATTACAGGCGTGCACTTTGGAGCCCAGGCTCAACCGTTGTCTCAGCATGGCCCGTGAGTGGGGCTGGCACAGCACGCTGGGGACTGAACCTGGCCGCTGCGCTCTGCCTAAGCAGGTGCTTTAACCCGCTGAGCTATCAGGCTGGACCTTTTCTTTTTCTTTAATTAAAAAAAATAATTATTTGTTTGTTACAGAGTCTTGCCACACAGTTCAGACTCGCAGTGATCCTCCTGTCTCAGCTTCCCCAGCGCCAGGATTACAAATGTGCACCACCACACCTGGTTTCAGGGCTGGCACAGCATGCAGTACTAGGGATCAAATTCAGGTCTCTGCACTCGCCAGGCAGGTGCTTAGAGCACTGAGCTGTCTCCCCAGCCCCATTTGTTTGTTTTCTGAGGCTGGATCTTGCTGTGCAATTCAGGGCAGCCTTCAACTTACTATGTAGCTCAGGCTGACCGTGAGCTCCCAGCAGTCCTCTTGCCTCAGCCTCCTGAGTGCTGGTATTCCAGGTGTGTGTCGCCAAGCCTAGCTATTTGCCATTTTATGAAGCAACTGTGAAAATTTTGTGAATACTGTGCTGCTTTGATGTGTCATCAAAAGCACGGTTCCTGATGCTGCTTGGGGCCACCTAATGGGACTTGTGAAGGCTCATGCTGTGTCCTACCCACCTTCTTCACCTTTCACTGTGTGACTTGTGGCTCTTTCCAAGTCAAAATGACCGTGAAGGGCTGACTTATTTATTTATTTCAAAAAATTTAGTTATTTGTTGCTGAGTCTTGCTACACAGCTCAGACTTGTAGTGATCCTCCTGTCTCAGCCTCCCCAGTGCTGAGATTACAGGTGTGTGCCACCACGCCTGGTTTTGATGGCTGGCGTGGCATGAGGTATTGGGGATTGAACCTGAGTCCTTGTGCTTGCCGGGTAGGCGCTTGGACTGTCGAGCTATCTCCCCAGCCTGAAAGGCTATTTTGAATGAAGACAGGACACTGGGGTAGCCAGGACAGTGCAACAAGGCCCTCACAAAAAGGACTCCCAGGACGGCTCGAGGGTGGCCAGAATGTGGGATGAATGTTCTAGAAGCAAGGGGGCTACATCTGAGGGGATCAATGGCCACGTGCCTTTTACTGTAATCATTTCGTAAACGTGAACAGTCACCACAGGTCGAGTCATCCCTCATGCAACGTCTCTAGAAGCGTGTCCCCTTCTCCTCACCCAGCCCTCCACGTCCACTGCTCTGCCTGCTCGGGAGAGTTCACCAAGTGGAGTCCTACAGCGTGTGGTCACTTCCAGCATTGATCAAATGTTGCCTAGATTCATCTTCATTACAGTGTATTGGCATCCAATTCCTTTTTTCAAAAAATATATTTGGTACAGGGTCTCACTCTGCAGCTTGGATGCGCAGTGCTCCTCCTGTTTCAGCCTCCCCGGTGCTGGCGTTACAGGTGTGTGCCACCACACTGGGTCTCGGTGGCTGGCTCAGTGAGCTCGGAGGTGGGGCTGGTGCAGCCTGTGGTGCTGGGGATCGAACCGCGGTCCCTGAGCTTGCCTAAGCAGGCGCTTAGTCGGCTGAGCTCCCTCACCAGCCCAAGAAATCACTTCTTACTCAGATTATCAATTTATTTCCCTATATTTTTTTCTCAGGATTTAAGCATATTGTCTTTTCAGTTAGGCCTTCAAACTGTCAGAATTTTGTGTTTGTTGTACAATATGAAACTAAGTTTTTCAAAAATTTCCATGTGTGTAGTCAGCGATTTGACAACCCAGGCACCTTTCCTCTGCGCACCCGGGCACTTCCCCATCGTAGTCCCTGCTTCGCGGACGGACGAGGGGCGGCTTCTGGCTGCCTCAGGCTACGCCATCCAGCCCGCGTTGCTGTCGGGCTCTTCCCTCCCACAGGTTTACATGAGACTAGGTGTCTGGCGGGGAGATCGGGGTGACCCTGCTCCACAACGTTGTCCCCTCCAATCCCTGGACGCGGTGCAGACTCTGTCCGGGCAGGCCCTCTGCGTGACCTGAAGTGACATTCCGCACTCTTGTGTTTACAGCAGGCTGCCTTCGGGTAAATTATTTCCGATCTATTACAAAATATCACTGTTGTAGGTTTTCAGGGAAGTCCTGAGATGGTCACACAGGTTTGTTCTAGAATCTGCAGTGCAGTCTATCACCACCACAGGTTTTCTGGAATGAAATCTTTTTGCTTTTTGGGGGCCAGCAAGGTTGGTCATGATTTAAAAGCTAGGAGGTTGCACTTGATTTTCTAAGACTTTATTGAAAGACATGGAACCTGGATTTCTGAACAAGGTTGGTGTATAATTTCTTCTCTTTTTTCCTCACTGTCTCCTCCCTCCCTCCCTCCCTCCCCCACACTCAGTCAGCCATGGCACCAAGCTTCTGAAAGCCTTGCAGCTGAATGGGTTGCACACTCGTCTTCCTGGGACATAGATTTGAGGTCCTTAAAGATGAGCGTGCCACTGTGCCGCTGGAGGAGCAGAGAGGCTGTTGCTGCTGATAGCATGGGGGCACAGGTGGCCTGCCACTTGAGGTGCTGGAGGAAGTGCGTGAGCTCGAAAGCTAAATGACTTGGTCCAAGTCACACGTGAGGACAGAGGGGCATGAGATTTGCCTTTAGGAGAAAGAAGCCAACATCCACAGGCTGGAAGTGTCCCTGTGTCTGTCCCAGTCAGTGCTGGGCTTGGGGGCAGTGGCAAGCAGCCCGCTCCACCTGCTAGGAGCCAGCACACCCTGGGCTGAAACTCACAGGCTTTCCTGCTACCTAAATCTGAAAGAGTCCCTAGAAGTTACTTTGCAAAGGGACAATCCTAAGCCCTTGGGGGGTCCTCAGAGAAACCCAAGGACTGGAAAGAGAATTTAGGGGACTCCCAAGGCTTTGTGTGGCCCTCTGTGAGCCCGACGTGAGCCTGGCTGTCACCTGCGTCCCCAGGGGAGCACAGAGCAGGTGTCCTGTGCACATATGTGCAGCCTGAGTCACAAGTGGGGTGTGGGTGCCTGGGTGGCCGGAGGACAGCCTGGGAGCCTGAGCTGGAGGAAGAGGCTGCCAGGAAGGGGACGACTCACATGGGCCGCGTTTGGGCCGCACATCCTCCCCCACTGCCCCCCGCCATGTTCCCGGCTGGCTCCTTCACAGTTTGCACCTCTGCCTGGAGAAATGGTGAATGATCGCAGGTGCAGGTGTGTGACCACATTCACCCCTTTCATTTCAGGGAAGAGGAGATAGAGGCTCTAGTTACGCCCTCTGCTCCTGGCTGCGTCCCCATGCCCGGAGCAGAGCAGTGAGGAGGTTGGAGACAGCCTTGGATTCCGAGACGGCAGCTTTGGCCCCTCTGAGCCTCAGCTCCCCGCCTGCCAAATAGGGATAATGAAGCCTTGCCTGACAGGATGTTGGGAAACAAAGGAGATGACTGACGGCGGAGTGCTTCATGGAGAGAAGGCCAAGCGCAGTGTGAGTTGCTGTCAGGGCCTCATTCAGGGCGGCCAGGAAAAGCTGCCCTACCCCACATGGCCTTGCTGAGCAGCCTCTGTTGGGGGCCATTGGAGGTGTCGCAGCTAACCGTGTGACTGCGGAGAAAGAAGTGAAGATGCAGGTGGGCGTGACTGCTTTGGATCAGAGGACTCTGCCGAGGACCTTTCGGTGGCCCTGAGGTGCACTTGCACCTGTGGGACCTTCACCTTGGCAGGGACTTGGACCTCAGGGCATGCTGGTCAGCTCTCCGCAGCTGGGACGGAGCCCTGACGTACGCAGCCCACAGGAGCAGGAGTTACCTATCCACGCTCTGTCTGCTCCAGAAACACCCTGGCAGCGGCGTGGTGGGCAAGAGCTGCCCAGGCACGTTGGCAGGACACAGAGGGAGTGGAGAAGGGCAGGAGCATAGGGCCAGGGCCAGACGCAGTGCCCCGTGACCCGCCAGGGCCACCCAGGCCAACCTCCAGGCTTGGATTCGGAGACGGGCGGCTTCAGCCCCCTGAGCCTCAGCTCAGCCAGTCAGGCGGAGCATCAGCACGAGCCGCCATACTAGGCTAAGTCACTCACCCTCCGGAGTAACACAGGGACGCTGCACTGGGTCTGACAGGAAGGCCGAACATTCCTTTCTCTCTCCGAGGGAGAGGCGGCCCTGCCCCCAGGCACCTCCACATCTGTGCTGAGGTGGGGCTTAAGGTGGGGTGACCAGGAAATGTGGGGAGACTCTGCCCCCCAAGACCCACCTGCCACAGGCCACAGCGTACCCCTCCCCACCCCACCCCCTCCTGTGAAGAGTGCTTGCCTTGGAGGCTGTGACAACGTCCTTGGTCTTGTCTCTAAGGGCTGGAGCAGAGGCGGAGCTTGGGGCCACCATTTCTATAGTCTCTCACTCTGCTCGGAATTTGTGATTCTTTTCAGTGGTAGGTCATTATGGGTGCACTCGGTTTTTCTGAACTCAAGCCACGTGCTCATGAGACGCACTTATGCCTGTCCACAGAGGCAACCTGGACATAGACCCGGGTCGATTTGTTCTGAAGGCAATAAAGAGGTTGTGTGCTAGAGCGCGGATTCCTAGACCCCACCTCATCCCAGAGACAGAGTCCTGCAGGCTCCTCCCAGGAATCAGCCTCTGATACATGTACCAGTGCCACAGGAAGATATTAAAATTTAAAACATTCACCTATTTATACGTTAGAATTTATATTTTTGGTAAGCCAGTATCTCCTAGCAAGGGTTCCAAATATGATAGATACTCCTGATCTATGCTTAGAATACTTTTCCTCTGTAAAGCTGTTCTTTCTCAGGATTGTCTAAGGCACTTCCGTTTGTAACAAATATGAATAAAGCTTACATCCAATAGACACACAATGTCATTGAGTGCTTCAGTTTTTTCTTCAAGTAATTTTTTTTCATTAAGTTTTTATGCACTGTGACACTCATGGGGTGGAAGGATTCTCAACCACCTAGTCCCTTGCAGCTATTTAACTCAATAAATTAATGAATGAAGTGCTTGGAAGTGACAAACTTTAGGACACGACTAAACATGGACATATTTCTGATTTTTATTTGCCGTGCTGTACTGGGGCAATATTAATGGCTGGTAAATTATCAGCTAAGTCCACCTTGAACAAACAGGAACGGAGCAGATTGCTTTTAGTCAAAGAGAAACTACTGCTAAGAAAATGGGGGCAAAGTTCATATCCTTAAGGCAGGCCAGCTTTGCCTCGCTTTTGGCATCTCTGTTCTCCTGCGCCTTGGGTCAGCCTCAGTTTACTCCGGTGAATTAATCTCACTTGTATTGGAAAATAGTTTCTTCTACGAGAGGCCACCACCTACGTGGGTGCGTGGACACGCAGGCGCACGTGTGCACAACCGTGCCGACAGCTGCCTGTCAAACTGTGGTCTCTTGGTTTGTGCCAACAGTGCTCATGAATGAACCCTCTCTTCATTACCAGGCTAAACATGTACCTGCGCTGCGGGTGCCTGAGGCTGGGGCTCAGCTCCTGACCTGCAGAGGTATCGGGGTCCCTGCTGAGCCCGTGCCTCCTGGCCACAGGCAAAGCATCCAGCTCCAGGAGAGCTCTCTGCTGCTTGCCCCGGGCTGCTCGCACTTGGCCCCATTCCTGCCACCCCGATGCCTCCTGGGTCCTGGAGCGCCCACAGGAGCTGCTGGCGAAGCCTGGTCTTGGGCCTTGTGTCAGGGCGCCCAGCTGCCTGCAGCCCACCAGGGCCTGCGAGTACACCCTGAGCATGGCTTGCACTCCTTCGTATGAGTGGGCAGACACCGTGATTGGTTCTCCGGTGGTGCGCTGCCACCTGGGATGCTGAACAGAGCTGCTCTTGAGCCTCTGTGTCTGCGGCCGACCTCACGCACACGTTTTCGGGGTGGGTGGCTACTGCACGTGGGAGAGGAGGCTTAGCCTGTGTTTTCCAACCTGGGCATGCCAACTTGTCCTCCCACCTGCAGGAGGTGCAGTCCCCCACCCTCCTCAGCGTTTGGTCTTGTCAGTGTGTTCGACACTTGCCTTCTGGCGAGTGTGCGGTCACTCCCTTGTCACGTGTGCTTTGCACGTCCCTGCTGTGTGATTCTGACCAAACCTTTGGTACACTTCCAGGCCAGTTGGTGAGTGTGCTAGGCCCCTGATCTTTGCTCATTGCTGGAGGCAAAAGTATAAAATCTGGGCCTGGTCTGAGAAGGTCGGCAGACCCGATTCTGGAACTCCATTGAGTGTGCCTTCCGGAGTTACAGCCTCTGTTCCGTGCCACGAAACCCCTTAAGAGCGTGTGCGACCTTTCATCACCATCAGCGTTGAGCAAATAAACTGTATGGTTTTTTTCCAAATACCCGAGCACTTTCCCAGGCTTGCCGATGTTAGCACTGGCACATAAAGATAGCAGGAGAGATAGGAATGCAGGCGACAGTGTCACAGTGACGGTTAAGAAATTCTAACGACGCAGCAGGTTATTAATGCTGCAGCATCTGAGGCGCTGCTCAGCGAAGCCCATCTCAGAATGCACTGGTCCTGGAGTTTCCTGACTTGTGAGGGGTGGGCAGAACACACAGTGAAAGCTCAGATTTTAATACAGAAGGTGCGCTGAGGTGGGTCCCCTCAGAATTCTGCCCGTCTCTTCACACATGCTCATCCCGTGGGTCTTCTGAAGAAGTCCTACTTCTTGAGTGTCTTTATGTGGTGTGACACAAGCTACTGTGAGTGCTGCTCTCCAGGGCCATCAGCGGGAAGGAGCTCACAAAACAGCACCCGGTCTCTGCACCCACCTACCCCCTGGAGCTCTCCCTGTAAGGCCAAGACACCCACACAAGGCCAGCGCACGGAGCCCCTGCCGTACTGGAGCAGCCGTGAGGGCTCACCCGAAGACACTCACGAAAGAGGACCCCAGAACGGCTTCAGAAAGCAGCGGTGAGAACGACAGGGTGATCGCTTGAAAGAAGGGCGAGGATTTTGGGAGGGATTAATGGCAGTGTGTCTTTACCTGTAATATCTTTAAAAAATTAAACATTCACCATAGTTTTTGATCCACAAGAAAGATCTGTGCAAGGACTGGAGTGTGACGCTCACTGTGGCGTCTGCTGGAATCGGTTCTGAAGCAGCCAGCGGATTAGCAGGTGTGCTGGATAATTAATTGGCAAGCCAGAAACTGAAGAGGGAAGACTCAGGTTGGCTGGGAGTAGCCAACTAATGGGCTTGTAGCCCAGGTGGGGCCAGGGGGAGTAAGGAGGAGGTCTGCCTTTATGCCTCCTAGGAGGAGCTGTGGTCCCTGCCAGCACCTTTGGACTGTCTTCAGTTCCTTTGCTCATCCAGTGCAGATCTCCAGCCTCCGGACCATTGCCCAAGTCCCTGGTCATTTTGGGCTCCTTCTACCTCTGAAGAGAGGTAGGATAAGCTAAACCAGGAGTTAGGGGTGTTTGGTCTAGATGATCAAGAGGGAAACTGGACTATTATTCTACCATGGAAGAAGAATATATTTGGAGTACAGGAGATTCCTTAGGGTACCTCCTAGTATGACCATGCCCTGTTATTAAAGTCAATGGAAAATGACAAAAACCCAATCCAAGCAGGGTGACAAATGGTCCAGAATCTCAGAAAGATGTGGTTCACCATGCCAGGTAAAGAGCCATGACTGGCTAAGGTGCTTGGCCAAGGCCAAGGGAATATAGAACGGGTAGCAAAAGGAGATAGTTCAAATACCAGCGTGACCACTTACAGAAACAAGGGCTGTAATTATAACTTTCTCCCCTACATTGTTAACATGCTTGTGTTACTAAGCGGACAGTGTTTTCTTCCTTTGTAACATGCTGATGGCGAGTTGCATTATCAGTTCTTGCCTATTGCAAACCTACGTTCTAAGGTTTAAGTCATGAAATGTTAGGGGAAGAGTAAACACTGCCGCCCTGCCCCGGTCCTGCCTGCTGCTCTGGGGAGAGGATTAGTGTGCTTCCACTCACACGCAGGGTGGTTGTATCGTGTTAGATGCAGCATTCTCCCGTCACTGTTCTGTCTTACGAGCTTGCTTTGTATCTGGAGAGTAAGTACAGTTGAAGGAAGTGTGCCTGGTTGTCAGGTTAGCAAGGGGTGGATTGTGATAGCTAACTGCAGTGTCCACTTGAATGGATCAACTCACACCTAGTGGGTTAGGGAAGAACAGTTGGGTGTGTCTGGATGATTAACTCATGAACCCCAAACTAAGAGGGAAAGCCTACCCAGAACGTGGGTAGCATCAACCAATATGCTTATAGCTTGAATGGAATAAAAAGGAAAAGGAGGAGGAATTCTGCCTTTTTGCTCCTTCAGAGGAGCTCTGGCCTTTGTCCTCCCCAGTTCCTTCAGCCCCTAGCACTCCCTGCCTTCCAACACAAATTCTTCAGCACTCCAAGATGACTTGTCCTGGATTTCCAGTGAGCTCCGGGCCTGACTTTCACCTGGACCCTCCGGCTCTGCAGCATGCGGTGGCCCCCTTGCATT